ATATATATATATATATATATATATATATATATATATATATATATATATATATATATATATATATATATATATATATATATATATGTATATATATATATATATATATATATATATTTATTCAATTTATCTTTTTTTCCCTTTTAATTACCGAAAGACAGCTCCACGTCTGCAACTTTGCGCATTGGGTTAAATTAGGCTTTACAGACTCCTTTACTTCCACTGTATCTGTTCAACTGAGAGAACAGAACCAACCCTGTGACATCAGACACAGAGAAATTCCAAGATGGTGGCACCCTAGATCTAAAATCTATAGCAAAACATGCCGTTTTCTGCTAAATGGTTACATTAATCGAGTTGGATTAATATATTTCCATTAAAGTGGAATCCAATGGACAAAATAAGGTAAACTTGACTGAGTGCTTAATTTCCCCTTTAAATCTAGTTATAATCTTGAAAAAGGACTAATGAAATATTATTTACTGTCATCATGGCATAGACTCAAGAAATTAGTTATGAGAAATTAGTTTTTAAAACTATTACATTTAAAATGTCTTCTGTACATTAAACAGGACTGCGGACATATTTAAAAAGAGTCAGCATTTCAGAGCAGGGCTAAAAAAAATTGCCTTCACCATTGATTGCGCTGTTGTTCATTATTTTTCGCTATTAAAAATGGTTTAAAAAATAACACTTGCTTATATTACAGCAAAAAAGGCTATAGTTATTTGTGCGAATCAATAGATGTCTCCTTTGACAAGTGCATTTAAATGTACACAGCATATGCTACTTTGATTAAAATGAATAGCTCTAATGCATTTTTATCACTCATAATTTTTTGTGTCAAAAGCGTGAATTCTTCTAGTAAGCATGTTTTAAGTGTTCAGTCACACATTATTAAAAAAAACATATGTTGTGTCTATTCTTAGACAAGCATATAAAACATGACCTGAATTGTGTGTGTGTGTGTATTCAGTGGGCAGCAGGCAGAAGCCGGATCAGCGCAGTGCAGGTCCCGGTAGAGAAAAGTGCTGCTATTTCTTTTGGCAGGGCAGAAACTCGAGCGTCAGTGAGAAAGGCACGTCTGCACTCATGACAGTTGAGCTGGATGAAGAGAGAGGAGCACAGGTAAGAGCATATGCTGCATTAAAATGATTTCTCCTGCTCTTTTTCACTCACTCACTGTTTCTGTGATTCCTCTTCAGATGCAGGTGCAGCAGGGGAAAGAGCCGCCCTGTTTCCTGCAGTGCTTTAATGGAGGAATGATTGTGCATTCTGGAAAGAGAGAAGAGGAGGAGGAGAACATTCAGAGTAAGAGTTTTATGCGTTCATGATTTGCTCTATTTTAGTCCAGTCATTTGGGAGTGCACGCTACTCATTCTAGAGTTCCAGTTTTGAAAAGTAGCATTCTTTTTGCCTTTCATTTATAGTTCATGCATTGAAAACATCCATTAAACTCTCTAATAAATACATCTTATTTTGTAATCAAAATGCACATTTTAAAACAATTTCCAGTCATTTTTGAAACAATATAGCTAATACATTTGAAGTTAAATAAGTGTCATAACAATTTTGTCAAATATATTTTGCTCAAATTTAGCACTTTTTTTTTTGTGACAGTTTGATTGATAAGTATGAATATGTTTAACTGTTGGAAAACTATAGAAACTATTATTAGTTATTATTTGTATTTTTAATTTTAGTATTTATTTTTATTATTTTTCAATTTGATATTTTATTGTAATTTATTTAATTTATCATTAATTTAATTTATTTTACATTTTTCTTTTTCCTTTTTAGATTTTTTATTATTATATTTTTGTTATTTTATGTAAATTGTATTTTATGTTTTATTTTAGATGTCATTTTCATTTATTTTTTTTGTTTTATTTTATTATTTAATTTAATTTTAAGTTAATTTTGTTTTTTATTTTAATATTGAATTTTTTATATAATTTGTTACTAATTAAATTAAGTTATTTCATAAATTTTATTATTTCATATTTTTGTATTTTATTTATTTATTTTTTTTAATTTAATTTTTCTTTTTTCTTTTAGATTTATCTTTTATTATTATTTGTTGTTTTATTTTATATTTCATTTTCATTAATTTATTTGTTTTATTGTATTATTTTATTTAATTTTAATTTAATTTTATATTTTATTTTATTATATATATATTTTTTTTATTTAACACTATTTTAATTAAATTCTTTAGTTAATTTTATTATTTAATGTTTTATTATATTTTGTTTATTTTATTATATAATGTACTTTTTTATTTTATTTAAACATTTTCTTTTCTTTTCTTTTATTTTAATTTCATTATTATTTATTGTTATTTTAAATTTAATTAATTTTATTTAATTTATTTTATATTTTATTTTCATTAAATGTATTGTTTTATGTTATTTAATTTAATGAAGTTAAGCATTTAATTAGATACTATTTTAGTTTAATTGTAACATTTAAATGTCTTATTTTATATTTTTTTGTATTTAAATTTTTTATTTATTTTAAATTTTCTTTTTAATTTTATTTTATTTTAGATTTTTCTTTTATTATGTTTTCTTATTTCACATTTGATTTATTTTTATGTTTCTGGTTCATTTTATTTTATTTTATTATTTAATTTATTTTTATTTTGTAATTTATTTTTTCTTGTCTTTTTCTTTTATTTTAGATTCTTTTATTTCAATTTTATATCATTTATTATTTCATTATTATTTTAGAATGTAGCAATTCAAAGACAATCGATTTAAATATTATGTTTAATAACCATTCTTAAAGTTTAAACTAACCTGGACAACAGAAGTAGTATGCAGTTTTTTAGTGAAGGATAATGTTTCACTGATGTGTTTCAGATGACTGGCGTCTGTACTGTGTGCGTGGAGAAGTGCCAGTGGAGGGCCACCTGCTGGAAGTGGCGTGTCACTGCAGCAGTCTGCGATCCCGCACCTCCATGCTCTTGCTCAACATCAACAAAGCACTCATCTACCTGTGGCACGGCTGCAAAACACAGACTCACTCACGGCATGTGGCTCGAACGGCAGCGGACAAAATCAAAGAACAGTGAGTCTTTCACACAAATCCATCTCACATTTATAAAATATGCATGAAATATACAAATCATAAAATTAATTCACATAAAATTAATATACACTTTAAAAATTGCCCTGAAGCATTATGCATGTATGCTCAAATTTAATATCAAATTAAAGATTAAAAAAGCTCTTTGAAATAGAATGTAGAACATTGATTAAATATAGAAATGGACCAAAACTGACTTCAAAAACCACGTATCATATATTTTTCTATATTTTTTAGAGTCATTTTTGTAAAAATTTAACCATATATCACATATCAATTGAATTTAGAGCATCTATTAAATCTAGGAATTAATGATTTAAAGCAATACTGAATAGAAACACATTTTGCATTACTCTAAGTTGAATGAAATACTGATATTTGTTTGATTTATTCAAGACGACCGCTGGAGGCAGGACTTCACAGTAGCTGTAATGTGACCATTCACGAATGTGAGGAAGGCGGTGAGCCAGTGGAATTCTGGGAAGCATTAGGCAGGAAGGATCGAAAGGCCTACGACTGCATGCTGCAAGGTAAAATTAAACAATAAAGGTCTTTTTTTAAAAATCCTACTAGCACTATGGTTACATGGAAACCCATTTACATAAGAAAAAAGAGCTTTGATTCTAAATATGAGTAAAAAGGCTCATAATTCTGATTCTATTTGATGTCTGATTTTTTATTATTTTATTTATTTTTTTATTCTTTGGACTTTTTTTCATAATTTTAAAATTTAAACTGTATAATTTAGTCTCATAAATTTGACCTTTATTTCAAACTTTGATCATTTCTTTCTATTTTTATGAATAGATAATTGTTGGATTTTTTTCTTTTATTTTGTTTTTAATTTCTAAAAGTCATTATTATTTAATAAACCACACTTTACTAATATAATTTGGATTTTAACTTTTGAATTTGATACTTTTTATCGTAGTTTTGGCATTTAAATTCTATAAGTCTGTTTATTCTGTAAGTCTTTTTAACCTCATAACTTAAACCTTTATTTAAAACTTTTATCAACTTCTTTAGATTTTTATGGATTTTATACTATATAATTTTTGGGATTAGTTTTTTTATTGTTTTAAAATTCATATTTTAATTTAAAAATGTCCTAATTGTTATTTAATAAACCCCCCTTTATTACTAATATTATGTGAATTTTGAATTAGATTTTTCAATTTTTGTCAGTTTTGACATTGAATTCTGTAATTTAGTGTTTTTAATCTCATAAATTTGACCCTTATTTCAAACTGAAGTCATTTGATACATTTTTTCAGATTTTAATACATTTTACACTATATCATTTTTGTGATTTTTAAAATGTATTTTAAAATTCAGCTTTTTTAATTTCTAAATGTCATAATTGTTATTTAATAAACCACACTTAATTAATACTATTATTTGGATTTGGATTTTTGAATTTGATACTTTGAACTTTTTTGTCATAATTAGACGTTAAAATTCTAAATTTTAGACTTTTTAATCTCAAAAATTGTTACCCTTATTTCAAACTTTTATCGTTTGATAAATGTCTTTAGATTTTTATAAATTATATAATAAAAAAAAAAATCTGCTATAAGTTTGTTCATTCCACTATGGCAACTCCAGATTAATAAATGGACAAGGCCAAAAAGAAAATGAATGAATGAATAATTCTGTTTTCTAAATGTCATAACTGTTATTTAATAAACCACACTTTATTAATAATATTATTTGGATTTTGACTTTTGAATTTGATGGATTTGATAATCTCATCATTTTGACCCTTATTTTAAACTTTTATAATTTGATCAATTTCTTCAGATTTTGATCAATTTTATAGTATGTAATTATTGTGTTTTAGTTTTAAAATTTCTAAATGTCATAATTGTTATTTAAAACACACATTTTATTACTAATATTTTGTGTTTATTATTGTTTTTTTTATTTTATAAATGTTAAATTTCTAAAAGTTAAAAAGCCATATTGCAAATATTTTATATAGAATTGACTCTGGGCATGCAACAGTCTAGAATGTTCGCTTCTTTGTGGCTTCTCCACACCTTAACTCTCCCAGATGTGGGAAAGACAGTGATGGTGAACTCATCAGAGAACAACACGTTTCACATTGTCCACAGCCCAAGATTGTCGCTGCTGGCACCATTGAAACCAACGTTTGGGATTGGTACAAGTTACCAAAGATTTGTCTATAGCAGCCCGGCTATATGTATTGACCCTTATTATATTTCGTAATTCATGAGGCTGCATGATATTGGAAGATTTCAATATTGCGATATATTTTATTTTCTGCGATAAATATTGTAATATTAATAAAGTTCCAGATTTAAATAGCTCTATTTGGCAATGTTCTGGGAAGCCTAACAGTATTCAGGTACAGAAATGTAATATACATATTGCAAAAAATGATTTTCTTAATTTGCTTCGTCTCATTTCTAGTTCAAAAATCGAAACAATTTTAAATCAAGAAAAATATTTAAAAATATTGTTTTGTTTTCAACTTTAGAAGAAATTAGGGAAGAGTTTTTCCTTAAAGCAAGCAAAATTATTTGCCAGTGGGGTAAAGTAATCTTGTTTTTGCTTTGAAATGAAAATATTTGGACTAGAAATAAGAAAAATTCTAAGTAAGGAAACCGTTTTATTTAGCATCAATCAAATAAATTCTGTATACAGTAAATACCGTAATCAAATCCAATTCTGTAGGTCCTGGTTAACTGTAATCCAGATTCAACATTGCACATCTTCCAATAATAATGTGACTATTGTGGATGCGCATTTTGTTCACTGTGTTTATTCAATCTCTCTCTGTCTTTTTTTTAGACCCTGGCAAGTTTAACTTCACACCGCGTCTGTTCCAACTCACTAGTTCTTCGGGTGAGTTTGTAGCGCAGGAGTTTTTCAACCCATCCAGAGCCGCAGATCTCGTTTGTTCTCTGCCGTTCCTGCAGGAAGATCTGTATTCTGCCCCTCAACCAGGTGAAAAAACAACCCCAACAACACTCTTCTCTCAGCCAGGAAACACTGAGTCACACATAATGATGCATATTTTCTTCTATCCGTCTGTTTTTAGCTCTGTTTCTGGTGGATAACTATCATGAGGTTTACCTGTGGCAGGGCTGGTGGCCGCAGGACACAGAGAGCACCGGCTCTGCTCGTATCCGCTGGGACTCAGACAGAAAGTGTGCAATGGAGACTGTATTGCAGTACTGCAGAGGTGATTAACAGATGTGCACAACACTTGGGCTCCAAAACTAAAAGCGCTATTCATTTTTAAGTATAACTTACATGCATTTATGTTAAAAGAGGTGTCTTAATATACTGAAATTAGACAATTATCATGATATTTCATAAAAGCACAACCTTTTCAACATTTCTTGCTGTTGCAGTAATTTATGATAGCTGAGATTTAAAAATTAATCTACAGTATGTATAACATGGCATTATTAATCCAGTTATGGCATTATTAATCCATTATGTAGCTTTAAATATTCAAATGAGTAGCTTTCACATGGAACTTATTGTCATTCACACTTCTACAATAGAGGTGCACTTTCACAATATCCAAACGTGTGGCTCGAATAGATAGAAAAGAAAACTCGACTTTCTTGGAAATATGTCAAAGCTTATAGAGAAAGACCTTATGTGGCAATTCAATTATTGTGTAGTGAAACATCTGATGTTGAGACTCACCTACAGTTCAGATGCTTGCAATATGTATTGCAATAAATCTCATTGGCAGAGAAAAAATGTTACTCATAATGCCATACAAATATTTTGTTTATTTAAGTCTCTCACAGCAGCAGCTGGATTGAGGAGATCTTTGACCTAACTGCATCTGAGGGTGGTCTGATATCAAAAGTGTACAGTCTGATTCAAAGAGCAGCTGCACCATCTCTAGATTTTCTGAAGAAACAGTGGGAAGATGACTTAGGAAATATAGTTCCAGAGACAGTCTGGCAATCAACAATTAAGCAAATTCACTCAACATTTGCATCAAACACGGTTTTATTACAATTTAAGATAATTCATAGGCTGCGTTTTTCTAAAAGCAAATTGTCAAGAATATTTCCAGAAATTGACCCAACATGTTCTAGGTGCCACAGAGGTTTACTGGTCCTATTCCTAATCTCCCAACCTCCTCATTGTATCATTAATATTGCTACTTTAAAATTGGTTTATTATTATTATTATTATTATTATTATTATTATTATTATTATTATTATATAGTATCTGTTTTTTTAATGGTCATTTTTTTGTTATTTTGTTATTTGTCTTTCCATTTGTATATGATATAATTTCATGTAGGCTAATTTGTGTATATCTTTGCATATATATAATATATAAATTAATTTATATATATATATATATATATATATATATATATATATATATATAAATTTATTTATATAAAATATTTATTTAAAGATATAAATATATTA